ATTCAAAGAGGAGTTCTGTCTCATTTCCTGCAATTTTGTAATCGAGGCGCGTGGGATTTTGGTTGTGAATGCTTTAAGTGCACAACCCAAGCAAAAAGAATTTAAAGTTTTTGCAAAACGGTCAGAAAGGCTACGCCATAAAGAAAGAAATCACATCGGGCAAATGTCCGTTTTATGGTCATCTAAACAAACGATAAAAGGGCGGACCTCAGTCTGCAAGATCAAGAGACCACAAAAAATTGCAAATTTGCTAGGCAAGGAATATTGGGGGGTCTCTGAATACCAAATTGATTCAAAATCAAAAATTACTGCTTTTTCACCACAAAGCAAATGACTGGACATTATGTAAGACATGGGAACAAGTTATTGCAGCGCAAAGATAAAGAGGAGAAAGCCTGCTTTGACATCCAGAAAAAATTTTTGTCAGAAACGCATTTTTACTAAGAAAAAACATTGGATTGGTATTATTTTGAAGCGGGAATTTACAAGTTCTTCATAAACGACCACATTATTCCACCAAAATTTACTATTAATTAGGGCACGGCCCTAAATTTTTTAACTCTGAGGATTAAATTAAACGTTTTAAGCCGGAATATTGGTTCAAGTGCTGTGCACCTGCATCAGGGATACGCCTAACGTCCCAAAATATTTAAACTATTAGGTTTGTATGTGTACATTTAATGATGTAGGGCCGTGTTACGCCTTAGGGAGTAAGAACTGTGGTAAAATCGATGGTAAAAAGAAAAGTGACAACAAATGAGCATTTTCAAAGAATTTGGCAATTTCCGAGGATATTTTTCGCAGGCTTTTATCAATTTTAACAGGACACTGATCAGAAATATCCTCCGAAACTGGGGCCACATAGGTATAAATCCAAAGTTTTTATAATCATGGAGAGACCTGCGTAAAGCCCAGAATTGATTAAACAGAAAACTTATGGAATTGTTTGAAAATGCCACTGTTCAATTGCGAAAATTCGCCCAATCACATGCAAGACCTTGGGCATGGCGTTGAGGAAAACCGGTGCGCGTTCTCAACAGATTTCGTCTAAAACCTGTGCGAAAGTATCCCAAGATGACCATAAAAGCTAAAATATTCAAATTGGTTATGGCCAATTTATTAAAAGTCTAGCAAATGGTAAAATTTTCTGTCGGGTGCAAAACTGGAACAATCAAGTTGCTACGTTTTTTTGCAATTTTCTTCTTTATCTGCTTGTATTAACTATTATTTTTAAGCCTCCTGATGAAATAAACATTGGAAATTAGAATTCCGAAACTAGATTACATAAAAGCGTTTATATATTGCGAATATATTGCATGAAAATTCACATTATGTATAACTGTTCCGGTTTTGCTCCTCAGTGTATATATAGACTAGCAGAGCACCCGACGTCGTTCGGGGTAAACAAATAAAAATACAAAACAGTAATACAAATATTCAGTTCAGCATAATTTAAAGGAGGCAAACTATTTTCTTTGTTTATATTAACCCTCTAACAGGCAAAATTTAAATCCTGAATGAAGAAAACTGGTAATTTTTTTTAGTGTAAGGAGGACCGAAAAATTTCAGAAAAGTTATTATCTAATTTTTTTTGTGTTTTTTATGTCTTCAGGTGAGAAAAATCTGAAGTCCGCCTCAGGGCAGCCTTGCCGGTTTAGGTCAATAAAAACAATGAAAAAAATAGCCATGTATATTTCATGCTAAAAATTGAAAAAAGGAAAGGATGATTTTAAATAAATGTTTTTTTTATTTCTTATGATGGTAATCAAAAAAACAGTTTTTGTTGGTAGAACAGAATAAATTTAGCTTGCATTTGGGGCAAAAGCATTGCGTCTCTGAAGTTAAACATAACTTGCACCTTTTTTTGCCAGCACCTTTGGAAAGCCAAACAGGAAAAGATCATACAAATCGAAACGGACATCTTCAACTGGATGCTCAGCTCTTTTTCCCACACTTAGTTTCTTTTCGATTTGTGCTGAGCTTGGACGACCAGCAGAACGATTGGTAGTAGAAGCAACAAGACCAGCGGCAATATTTTCACGAAACTAAGGCAATTTCAATAATCTTTCTTCTTCCGCCGATTTATTTGAGTCATTTAATTTTTCCGAATGCAGTCGCCGATACAAAATGTAAGCATTTGTTGCAGCCATGTCAACAAAATGGTAAAAAATTCTCGTCATTGGGTTTCGAGTTTTAGCTTGAATATGATAACGCAAAATAAGACCATCCATTAAGTCCACTCCTCCCATATTATTGTTGTATTCGCGTACAATTCGCGGACAGTCAACATCTGTGTACTGTTTTACTTTTCGATCGTAGCGTGTCACTTTGTCAGGTTGCTTATCTTCGTTTGGTCTTTTAAAAGGTTGAATTCCAACATAAGTTGATGCTAATCGTACGGTTTTATTGTCCTTCCACAGCACTGTGTTAATATTAACTCCATACGAATTGCCAACATGCTCAACTGAGTAGCCTCTTTTTTCATTCTTAACGTCTTGATCCAAAGGAAGTTTACAATTCGGAATTTGATTGGCTCGTATCGTGCCTAAACTATAGATTCCTCTGGCACGCAAGTACACTAGCAAAGGCAACGATGTGTAGAAATTATCGAAGAAAAGTATATGATTGACGAAATCTGGAATTGTCTGCGATAAACGTATNGATTAGCTCGTATCGTGCCTAAACTATAGATTCCTCTGGCACGCAAGTACACTAGCAAAGGCAACGATGTGTAGAAATTATCGAAGAAAAGTATATGATTGACGAAATCTGGAATTGTCTGCGATAAACGTATAACAACATTGGCCGTACTTCCAAGATCAGGCTCTCCTGGTAAAACCACATTGTCACCAGCTCCATTATAAACTTCGAAACGGTAGGCAAACCCATTTGAGTCACACAACACAAATAATTTTATACCCCACTTGTGCGGTTTGTTGGGCATATATTGACGAAGATGGTGTTTCAATTTCGTACTACACATCTGTTCGTCAACGCATAGTCGCGAGGTTTTTGGGACTGAATCAAACCGCTTGTTGAGTTCATCGGACAGTTTCCAGATTCGAAATAGTGGATCATATCCTGTTTGATCTTTTTTAATTCTCTTACTCTCATCAGCAAAGCACAAATATTTTTTTATAGCCAAAAACTGTTTTACAGGCATCGTCTTTTCAATTGGAGTGAAAGTATTTTTTCCCCAATAACTTTCCAAATTGGGATAATGGTAAAAAGACATGTAAAGCAGTATGCCAATGTACTTGTAGATTCCGTCGACATCTACCTTGAACTGGTTGTTGATATTTTCTGCGAAGGCCGCTCGACTTGTCTCTTCCGCAATGAAAGAAACTATATCCTTTTTAAAAAAATAACAGAAAATTTGCTTTGGCGTTTCAAGTTCTTTGATGTCTGGTGGTAAACCAGAATTTCCTCGGAATGACATTTCATTCACATGCAATACCAAATTTTGCCTTCGCCATAATATGTTGGAAAATTCGCTTGAATTTTTCGAGATAGCTTCAAGATCTGTAAATCATACTTATCTTATCGGTAAATAAAATATCTAAGTTTCAGTGAAAAACACATATCTGCTCCTGTAAAACCACCAGAAGAAGGGATAACAGAAGGACCAGCAATTTCAAGAGACGGTGATTGAGATCGATCTCTTCTTGTTGATTTTACTGCAGTGGAAGTAGAGGCTACATACCCACCATCAATTGAACTAATGTTTATGGAAAAATTGGAGGTTTGAATTAATGAATCAGACCTATCGTCCATTTCTCGAAGGCACGCTGAAATAATTTGTTCGTCATCTGGAGAGATTTCTTCTGCCATGTAATCCGGGTCTTTCAACTCATCATCACTACTAAAATCTTCATCATCGTCGTCTAACTCGACCGATTCCATTAACTCTAGTAATTCTTCTTCGCTCAATTTACTTAAGTTAAATTTTCTGCTATTTCTACAATCCATTGCTAAAAACTTCAAAAAAAATTTAAGGGTCAGTAGCAAACCTCAAAAAACATTAATTTTCACTTATTTGCTTCTAAACCTCCAATTAACTAAATTTTTTCATTAAATGATATATATTCACAAAATAAATTCACTTAGCTTTCCACAAAAATGGTCACGATAAACACTTAAACCACTTTTAATTCTCACTTTAAAAAAAAAGAGTTGGTCGCCAGATATTTTCGTGCTTTCACATTGACTTTCTACATTCAACTGAAAATAAAATCAAAACGAAACGCCGTGGTACACTTGTTCCTTCTGCCAAAATAGAACTTCAAACAAAATTTAAGGGTCAGTAGCAAACCTCAAAAAACATTAATTTTCACTTATTTGCTTCTAAACCTCCAATTAACTAAATTTTTTCATTAAATGATATATATTCACAAAATAAATTCACTTAGCTTTCCACAAAAATGGTCACGATAAACACTTAAACCACTTTTAATTCTCACTTTAAAAAAAAAGAGTTGGTCGCCAGATATTTTCGTGCTTTTACATTGACTTTCTACATTCAACTGAAAATAAAATCAAAACGAAACGCCGTGGTACACTTGTTCCTTCTGCCAAAATAGAAGTGGATATAATTTCTGACGGTTCTTTTACGAAATTGAACCAAACTTAATTTGTCTTTGAAATTAAAGTTGATTATGTAAAGGCCACCTCAGGGCGGACTTGCTCGTTAGAGGGTTAAGGCATCCTTATGAGCCATATTTATAGCTTTAGGTAAATTGGNAAAAAGCTTAAATGCTTTGGATTTTTGATTTTTTAAGCGTTTCAATTCGCCAGTAAACCACTGAGCGTTAGACGTTACGTTAGCTTCCTTAACAAGAGGAATGATTTTACTGAAAATGTGGCGTAAGGAATTGCTAAAATGTAAGGCACTATCTTCAGCATTCCCATCATACTGGGGCCAAGTTATCTTCGATATCTCTAACCTAAGTTTATTATAATCTACAAACTTAATTAATAGCAATTTTGCTAAAACTTCAGAAATGTGTGCAAACGTGCAAAGTAAACATCAAGGTGACCTTGAATTTGTGAAAACAAATAGCAACAATGTTATTGATAACACTCGTGTTAAAACTAATGCTAAAGCTGAGTACCTAATAAAGAGACGCAGAGAACAAAGAGAAGGGCAAATAGACTCATATCGAGAGATTGAAGATATTGGTGACGAAGCTGTAAGCAAGCAAGCATTGATGGCGTTACTCCAATCACTTACCGCACAAATCAATGAACTAAAGAGCATAATATTACAACTTAACTCTGAAAAAGCAATTCTCAAAGAGGAGAATGAACAACTAAAGAAAAATCCAAATAAAAACAATGAAGATCACCATACTTCTATGTTAGAAGACGACACTACTGAAATTGAAATGGAAGAAAATTTCTCCGCTCCTCAAAGAGAAGAGAGCAATAAAACTTCGGAAATTCCTCCAAAAACAATGCCTAAACAGACAAAATCAATACCAAAACGTGGGTCAAAAAAAAGTAAAGAGAATCCGCCGGTATTTATTTGCTATAACATTAACCAAAAAGAAATGTCAATTAACTTACAGCAATTATTAAAACACAAAAACTTTGTTTTCAATATTATTAACAAAAACGTAACACATATAAGTTCAGGCGTTATAAATGACTATAAAGAAATTAAGACCTTCCTAATAAATAAGAAAATACATTTTTATACTTTTACTCCCAATGAGGAAAAGCCATATTCAATAGTTATTAAAAAACTGTCAAATGTTTATGAATGCGACGAAATTGTTGCTTATCTTAATGACCTTAATCTTGATATTGAGATTCTTAACTTAATTGAGAAACTTAAACAAAATTTAAAAGAGACAATTGGATAATCCAACTCGGCCATAACTCTAAGCTATCTGATTTCTATAATATTAAGTATATTCTAAATTGTAAAGTAGATTTCGAAAAATTAAAACCAATGGTACCCTCGCAATGTAAGAACTGCCAACGATTTACACATGTTGCAAGTAATTGTTATCTGCCATACCGCTGTGTCAAATGTATTGATACTCATGGCCCTGGTGAATGTAAAATACCCCAAAAAGAAAATAACAACAAAGAGCATGTATATACCGATAGTGAAACAGGCCAATTAATTAAAAAAATAGGTATCCCTGTAAGTGCTGGAATAAGCTTTGACGAAGAAAATGGATACGTGAATTGCTTGAAAACACATGAATTTGAATCGGATCATAGTGCTGTCGAATTGATGCTAGAATCGGAACATAATGTACTCGATTGCCAGCCAACCGAATATTTCAATTATGATAAAACTGATTTTAAAATGTTTAATAACGTTCTTTTAGCCAATATTAGTACGAACTACCTACCAACTAACTGCAATGTATCGAGAAAAGAGATTGACGATTGTGTTGTTAATCTCAGTAAAGCAGTTAACTCAGCTCTTAACTCAGGGGCGATACCAAAAGTTAAGGTGCGCAACCGTGGTCTAATAAGCCTTCCTACAGAAATACTTGATCTAATATCCGAAAAGAAACGTTTACGCCGCACCGTCTCAAGATGTGTAGATCCTCGGCGTAAAAACACTCTGACAGCTATAATTCGAAACCTTACTAAAATAATAGAAGAGCGTATTCGTTTGCATGAAGACAGATATTGGTCAAACTACTTTGCCAAAATACGTATGAACAACAAAACCTACAGCAAAATTAAAGGACTGTGTGGATTAAAAAAAACGTCGGAAATCCCAGACTTGATAATTAATCGGGAAAATATCGATATTGACCTTCCCTATGTTGACCCAACAAGCAACAATAATAGTAGCGACATTGTCTTAACCGAAAATTTATACAAAGTAAATGCTCTAGCTTACGCGTTTGAGCAAGTACACCGTCAAAACCTACACCTCGGAGAGGAAAGCTTTTCAGACTTGATTGAAAATAATGTGGCAGAAATAACTCAGTCTAATGAACCAATAGTATATTTCTCAAACAATGTAACAGCAGATGGTGAGCTTAATACGAACGATTCTGAACAACAATATGAACTTGTAAGCGCTGAGAAAATTGGTGCCGTCTTACGATTAACGAATAATAAAAAGAGTTGTGGTGATGACGGTATCTCGAACTTCTTGCTTAAGAGAACAACTAACGATTTCTGGAGATTCTTAGCTATTCTTTTCAACCACTCGCTAAATATAGGATATTTTTCCACCCAATGGAAAACTGCAAAGATAATCTGTGTGCCAAAACCAAATTCTAATCCCAATTCTGTTCTGGGTTACCGCCCAATATCCCTTCTTTCTAATATAAGTAAACTATTAGAGCACTTTATACTTGAAAAAGTTAAGCAACATATGGAGGAGCGAAATATTATGAAAGATTACCAATTTGGCTTTCGCCCATACCACTCTACGAATCACGCATTAACACTTCTATCTGACTTTGTATGCAGTAATCTGAATCGCCGACAAGCAACTATACTAGTAAGTCTAGATTTAGAAAAAGCATTCGATACTGCATGGGTAGAAGGCATTATATTTAAAATGTATAGAATATTTAACTTTGATAAAAATGTGTGCAAGATGTTGCATAGCTACTTAAAAGATCGAACATTTTATGTAAGTGAATCTCTACATAATTCTAGTATAAGGGATGTTGCCGCAGGCGTGCCCCAAGGTTCTTTACTGGGACCGATATTGTACAACATATTTCTAGCGGATTTCCCTGACCCGCCAGTGGGTACTATAATCTGTAACTCTGATATAAAAGTTATTATATACGCGGACGATATCCTTATATTGGGATCTCACCCACGCATAGCTAAAGCTAACGAAGCCATCAACCTATACCTGTATGAACTTAATAGACACTTTCAAAAATGGAAATTAAAAGTAAATCTCGATAAAAGCGAAACCGCCATTATCAAGGGAGTTAAAAAAAATTTGCTTCCAAACGCTCGAAAGTATGAGCCCCTAATTAAAATTAATGGTATAAAAATAAGCAGCAAAGAACAAATAAAATATTTAGGCATAATATTGGACAGTAAATTTACCTTTGTGAGACACATAGATTTTATTTTGGGAAAAGCAAAAAAAATGTTTTTCTGTTATTCTAACTTAATTAAAAGACAGAGTGGTCTCTCAAACTGCATTAAATTGAATATATATAAACAAATAATTAGGCCAATAATTTCTTATGGTCATCCTATATGGTTCAACATTTCCTCAAGCCAAATGGAACGACTCAGAAGATTTGAGCGATATATCTTACGACTTTGTAGCGGACTCAACCGCCAACCCTACAGAACAGGTACTTTTCGGAAGAGAGTATCCAATAAAGTTCTTTACAAAAAATGCGGAATATCACGAATAGATTCCTTCCTAATCAAATCTTCATATCGATTTGTTGAAAGAATGGCATACATGCAAAATGAATTGATTAATAAATACCTCTCAAAACAAACAGAAATATCTTTACCTATAACAGAAAGATACTTATCTCCAATATATTTAAAAATATTAAAAAATAATTTAATGCTTCATAAAAATAATAAAACAATATACTATCATAGGCGATACAAATCTTACAATTTCAATGATGATAATCTAGTTTATAATACCGACCAATTTATAGTAGAGTAGCTTGTAGTTGCTTAACATAGGTTTCTTAAACATGTATGTATCAGTATATCTCCTTTTTAGCCCTTTTTGGGAGAATATTAATAAGTTTTAAAATAGATCTTGCAAAACGCAAATGTAAAAAAATAATATTAACTGACTTTTCATATGTATATACGAAATATTAAAATAAATTTTAAACTCCTAGATAAATACAAAAGTATGTTAGGATAACACTAAATAATACAATTATTTAACATAAGTACATATGTAAACTTGTATATCTAATGTGATTTTGGGCAATAAATGAAATGAATGAAAATTTATAGCTTTATTGTGCTTTAACTAAATTATATATTGATCATCACTTGTACTACAAATCGTGTTCCATTATTAATATTAGGTGGATTAAGGTAAGGATCAAATTTCTGAATTAAAATTAGTTTTCTACAGTACACTACGTTTAGCTGCCTATTCGCTTAACTGTTTTAGTATAGCTGCACTTTTCTGGTAGAATGCTTAATTCGGAAGCAGTTTTATTCATTATGAATGAACCATTTTCGTTTAACAGCATCGCGGGAGTAAAAAACGATTTAATCTTTCCAGTTCAAAATAATCTAAAGACGGTAAGGTTTCAAAAAAAAAACACACACACAGTTTTAAATATCCGAGTTATTTAATATATGAATGCATATATGTATATCCTCCATTTACAAACTCATTTATATATACTTTACTCTGAACACCTTCCATAGATACCTATGTCTGAATACCAAATTTCAAGTTCATGTGACTTCTGGTTCCCAATTTATGGCTGATTAAAAATTCCACGCCTACGGGATGTGCCACGCCCCCTTTTATAAACTCATTCATATGCACCTTACTATAAGCACCTACCATTGATATGTCTGCATATTAAATTTCAAGTTCGAGGGACTTATGTCACGGAAGTTATAGCTGATTAAAATATCCACGCCTATGGGATGCGCCACACCACTTTTACAAACTCATTTATATAGACCTTTTTATAAGCACTTACTATTGATATGCCATGATACCAAATTTCAAGTTCATGGGACTTATGGTTCCGAAGTTATAGCTGATAAAAATTTCAACGAATTTGGCATATTCCACGCCCCTTTCACAAAATATTCCACGCCTATGGGATGTGCTACGCCCCCTTTTACAAACTCCTTTACATATAACCTCCTATAAGCACCTACCATTGCTATGTCTGCAAACCAAATTTCAATTTCGTGGGACTTATGGTTCCGAAGTTATGGCTGATAAAAAATTCCACGCCTATGGGATGTGCCACGCCCCTTTTTACAAACTCCTTTATATATACCTTACTATAAGCACCTACCATTGATTTGTCTGCATATTAAATTTCAAGTTCGAGGGACTTATGTCTCCGAAGTTATAGATGATAAAAATATCCACGCCTATTGGATGCGCCACACCCCTTTTACAAACTTATTTATATAGACCTTTTTATAAGCACCTACTATTGGTATGCCTTGATACCATATTTCAAGTTCATGGGAGTTATGGTTCCGAAGTTATAGCTGATAAAAATTTCAACGAATATGGCATATTTCACGCCCCTTTCACAAACTCGTTTATATATACCCACCTATAAACACCTACCATTGATATGTCTGCATACCAAATTTCAAGCTCGTGGGAGTTATGGTTCCGAAGTTATAGCTGCTACACCCATAGGATGTGCCACGCCTCCTTTTACAAACTCATTTATATATACCCTCATATAAGCACCTACTATTGATATGCCTTCATACCAAATTTCAAGTTCATGGGAATTATGGCTCCGAAGTTATAGCTGATAAAATATTCCACGCCTATCGGATGTGCCACGCCCTCTTTAACAAACTCGTTTATATATACCCTCCTATAAGCACCTACCATTGCTATGTCTGCATACCAAATTTCAAGTTCGTGTGACTCATGGTTCCGAAGTTATAGCTGATAAAAAAATTCGCGCATATGGAATGTCNCTGCATATTAAATTTCAAGTTCGAGGGACTTATGTCACGGAAGTTATAGCTGATTAAAATATCCACGCCTATGGGATGCGCCACACCACTTTTACAAACTCATTTATATAGACCTTTTTATAAGCACTTACTATTGATATGCCATGATACCAAATTTCAAGTTCATGGGACTTATGGTTCCGAAGTTATAGCTGATAAAAATTTCAACGAATTTGGCATATTCCACGCCCCTTTCACAAAATATTCCACGCCTATGGGATGTGCCGCGCCCCCTTTTACAAACTCCTTTACATATAACCTCCTATAAGCACCTACCATTGCTATGTCTGCAAACCGAGTTTAAATTTCGTGGGACTTATGGTTCCGAAGTTATGGCTGATAAAAAATTCCACGCCTATGGGATGTGCCACGCCCCTTTTTACAAACTCCTTTATATATACCTTACTATAAGCACCTACCATTGATTTGTCTGCATATTAAATTTCAAGTTCGAGGGACTTATGTCTCCGAAGTTATAGATGATAAAAATATCCACGCCTATTGGATGCGCCACACCCCTTTTACAAACTTATTTATATAGACCTTTTTATAAGCACCTACTATTGGTATGCCTTGATACCATATTTCAAGTTCATGGGACTTATGGTTCCGAAGTTATAGCTGATAAAAATTTCAACGAATATGGCATATTTCACGCCCCTTTCACAAACTCGTTTATATATACCCACCTATAAACACCTACCATTGATATGTCTGCATACCAAATTTCAAGCTCGTGGGAGTTATGGTTCCGAAGTTATAGCTGCTACACCCATAGGATGTGCCACGCCTCCTTTTACAAACTCATTTATATATACCCTCATATAAGCACCTACTATTGATATGCCTTCATACCAAATTTCAAGTTCATGGGAATTATGGTTCCAAAGTTATAGCTGATAAAAAATGCCTCGCCTATGGGATGTGCCACGCCCCTTTTTACAAACTCGTTTATATATACCCTCCTATAAGCACCTACCATTGATATGTCCGCATACCTAATTTCAAGTTCGTGGGACTATGGTTCCGAATTTATAGCTGAAAAAAAATTCCACGCCTATGGGTTGTGCCACGCCCCCTTTTGCAAACTCGTTTACATATACACTCCTATGAGACCCTACCATTGGCATGTCTGCATACCAAGTTTCAAGTTCATGTGACTTATGGTCCGGAAGTTATGGCTGATTAAACATTTCACGTGTATGGGAGGTGCCACGCCCCTTTATCGGATCCCAATTTTTTCACCTTATTATAGGCCCATGTGTCATGGCAATACTCTGTCAAAACTGTGTTCGATTCTGTCCTTCTTTTTAGACTGCAACCTGGCACATACATACATACATACAACATACATACTTTCACAAATATATGGTAGATCTATCCTTCTCTTAGCGTAAAACAATTTTTGGGGATATCTCGGCTAAAGGGCCTATCGTGTAAGTTTGAAGTTAAAATATTTGTTTTCAATCGGCTAAATTGTATTCTAAATATGAGCCATATTGGCAATTAAATGCAATTTTTAGGAATATCCTGACCCCTGCGCCACCTAGCGAGTACATTTTTGCAGGACAATTTCTTTTCGAGGTACTATGTTCCAAATATGAACGAAATCGGTCCAGCCGTTTAGTAGTTTAGTGACATTCAATATACGGAAAACGCTGTGAAATTGTGAAATGGTGACGTCTCAGCTTTCTTCATTTTTCGGCAACAACAACAAAAAATTTCAAATTTTTTAAAATCAGGGAACCTTCCACACAGAAGGTCCAAAAATGTGCTTTTTACAGAATTGAAATCGTTTCAGGCGTGTGGTCAGGCATCGCGGTCATACGAAAAACATTTCATTTTTATATATATAGACTAGCAGACCCGGCGAACTTCGTCCCGCCCAAAATAAATTTTTTGTACACGGTCAAAAATTTGGGTTTAATTTTTAAACCGCGCTGGGACTACTGCCTTTTTTAATCTTTTATAGTCTACTTTTTAACCCAGTCAATAGTTTTAAGCAATTTTTAATATATTGTGGTTTAAATTTTAGTCCAAAAACCTCGTGGTTTAAAAATCAAACCAAAATGTTTTAATTCTAGTTTCTAGGTTTAATATATAGAAAATTTGTTTTAAAAGCTAAACCGAAATAGAAAATGTTTGCACACAGCGAAATGTGGTGTTGATTCAAACTCAACATATGAAAGCACATTTACATGCGTGGCTGTAGCTGAGTGTGCAAAGCTGCTTGATACAACTGGTTGCTACGAAGGCTGTCCGGGTTCAATCCCCATCAGACGGAGCATGAAACTTTAGTTTTATTTTTTATTCTTAATTATGAAAATGTTTGGGTTTAAAATTTAAACCGAACTGTTGCCCTCTTTTTTTTTTAATTTAGAAGGTTTGTATTTGAAACTGAATTTATGTAGTTTGGTCATATATGTAGCCCAAAAAGTTTAAAATTAAAACCGAAAAAATAGCTACCCGCGCAACTTGATAGAATGGCTAATAGGGGGACAATCAACAAAAATTCACGCCCATATCACACAGAAAATACGGAAAAAAAGTACATAGGCGTAACATACATTCCAGGGCTAACAAACAATCAAACACTGCATAGAATGATTGAAAATGAGAAAATTAGATACGCTCACAAACCTCATAATACACTGCATAGAATCTTTACAAAAACAAAAGACAAAGTTCAGAAGGAACAACAAAACAATGTAGTGTATCAAATAAATTGCAAAGGCAAAGGAAACGAAAGCTGCAATAAATGCTACATTGGCACTACGAAAAGAGCGCTAAGCATAAGAATCCACGAGCACGAAATGGATGCAAAAATCAAAAAGATGACAACAGCATTGGCTCAACACCTGACTAACAACGAACACACAGCTGACTTCGCGAACACAATGATCTTAGATGTAGAAAGAAGACGAATGACACTGGAAAGTCTCCGCATACAGCAGCAGCTTAACAACACGATGAATTTCAAAGAAGACGTGGACAGCACAAACAGCGCTTACACAGCTGTTATCCAAAGTAGGAATGAACGCCAGCGAAAGCAGAAACAAACAAACAATTGATGGGTGTTAATGTA